GATCTTTCATTTGATGTCAGTCTAGAGACTAAGGTGCATCTGATTCAGGCCATGGTCTTGGCAATGTAGCTATGCATCAGAGAGCTGGACAGTGACTAAAGATGACAGAAGAAGAATCAGTGCCTTTGAGTTATGGTGCTGGAGAAGACTATAGAACAGATCATGGACTTCCAAGAGAACAAATAAGTTTGTCCTGGAGATGGTGAAACCAAGTTGCTCCTTGGAAGCAAGGATTTTGAAGCTCCCTCTGACATACTTTGGGCATGTTGCCAGGAGGAACCAGTGCTTGGTGGATATCATGCTTGAAAGGGTGGAGGGTCAGTGCAGGAGAGGAAAACCCTGTATGAAATGGATTGACACAGTGACTGGGGTGATGGGGGAAGGTGTGTCAGAGACAGTAAGATTGGCTCAGGATAGGATAGAGTTCACAACCGTTATGTATGTTGTTGTTGTGTACTGTGTAGTTGAAACTGAGTCACAGCTGACTCTCTGGCAGATTTTCAGAGACGGTTAATAGCATGGGAGGAAATTGCCTATCTTTCTTCCCTGGAGCAGCTGGTGTGGACTTGAACCATGTGCCTCTGTGATTGCAATGCATCTTCTTGCCACTAGGCCACCAGGACTCCCTCTGGTGTGAATAGGGTTACTATAAGTTGCAGGTGATTTGACAGCACATAACAACAACCACCACCACAACAACAGCAAGCAAACTGTCCTCATCTGTGTGACTCAGAGTCAGTCTTTACGTATTCCAGTGCCTTCTTCCCCCTTTCAATAGGACCTGTATTAAAAGCCAAATTTCTTCATACACATTCATGTTTGACTGCTAGGGAGATGATTCCAGGTTTCCATTTTCAGCTGAAACCTTTTCCTTGAGTGCCTATTATTCAGAGAAATATTTCACCCATGATTTCAAAATTAAAATGTATGCATCAGGGATGCATCCTATCTTTTCAATCTATATACAGAACAAATCATTCAAGAGGCTGGACTTTATAAGAAGGAATGTGTAATCAGGATTGGAGGAAGACTCATCAAAAACCTGGATTATGCAGATGACACAACTTTGCTTGCTGAAACTAAGAACACAAGGCATTTGCTGCAGAAGGTCAAGGACTGCAGTCTTCAATATGGGTTGAAATTCAACATGAAGAAAACAAAGATTCTCACCACTGGGCCAATTGGAAGCTTCATGAGAGACATAGAAGAGACTGAGATTCTTAACAATTTTAGCTTACTTGGTTCCACTATCAACAATCTTGGAATCAGCAGTCAGAATATCACAAGAAAAGTTGCATCAAAAAAGTCTGCTATTTGGGATCTCTCTAGAGTACAGTAGAACAATGATGTCATTCTGGAGACGAAGGTGCATCTGATTCAGGCCATGGTCTTTGCAATTGCTTGCTATGCACCAGAGAGTCAGACAATGACTAAGGATGATAGAAGAATGATCTATGCCTTTGCGTTTTGGTGCTGGAGAAGAGTGTTGAACACCAGGTCCACAAGGAGAACAAACTGGTCTGTCTTGGGGAGAGTGAAACCAGGCTGCTCCCTGGAGGCAATGATTTTGAAACTCTGTCTCACATACTTAGGGAATGTGACCAGGAGGATCCAGTTCTTGGAGAAGGACACCACGCTTGGAAGGGTGGAGGGACAGGGCAGAAGGGAAGACCCAGGATGAGAGTGGTTGCCTCAGTAACTGGAGAAATGGGATCAGATCTGTCGGAGATGGTGAGACTGGCTCAGAGTAGGGCAGGGTTCAGAGTTATTGTACACAGGGTTGCTATGAGTTGCAGGTGACTTGACAGAACATAACAACTGCAACAAGAACAAGAACAACAACAACAACATATCAAACTCCATTGATCTGGAAAAAACATCATCCTCTTCCATTTCTTGGTTAGCTTCCTTGACCAGTTTCACCTTTTCTATCATTGGAGCCACCAGTCTCTCCATCTTCTGAGCTTCAAATAACTTATTCACTCTGTATGTTGTTATTAAGTATTTAAATAGGCAAAACATCAGTATGAATTGAAGAGGGAAGCCAAGGATGATCTCTACCCTGGAGATACTGTGGGAGACAAGGTTGAAGAAGCAAGCCCCATAAGTAGAGCTTGGATGGATGTGAGGAATTAGGACTTCATCTTGACAGTGATGGAATGGAAAGCAAAGAAAGATGGAAAAGGGAAGATCAGTGGTCAGAAGTATGGACAGGCGTTCTCAGAATGAGGGGTATACCTGACTGCAATGAGAATCCAGTTGGTGGTATCATCTATTTCACTGAAGCTGATGGTGAGCATTGTGATGACTGAGGCATATGTGCCTGTTGGACTGGCCCCTGTGTGTTCTGCTGGGCAGCAACTCACTGAAGTTACCTACTCTTTAATTACAGGCCCTCCCAAATTGCCCCTTTCCAACACAGAGCAATGAGATGAAGGCAACAGATTCCATGCTATGTAAGCTGTACTCTTGAGTTGAAATCTCATCCTTGCTGCTTGTTAGTCTTGAAATTTTGAGTGCTTGGAGGCAATCAAGGTGGTCAGTATGAGCATGGACAGTAAGGATAAGAACTATGGTCTCAGACATGGCTGTGAAGTTGCAAGAATCTGGAGCTATGGCAGATGTTGTGTGAACTGATCATCACAGTGATATCTGGGCTGTGTATTGAGTTGGGCTTACTATCAAAGGAATCTCCTAGGTGGAGGCCAGATTTGCTTCTGGGAGCAGACACTGTTTCTTGCCTTAGTGTGCTCTTATATAGCCTCTTGTATAATGTTAGACTAAAGTGACCTACATCACACACATTTTACACATGAGAAACTGAGTCAAAGAAATAAATACCTTCTTGATAACAGATTCCTGTATCACCACACTTGGTCATCTTGGCAATCACCCTGTTCAGTCTGTACTGAGATGATGAAATTGTCAATGGTCTTCACAAGACAACATTTCCTGGCCCTTTCTCTCAATCTAACAGATAAGGTTCTCTCTCAGCTGACCATGTCCCTTCCCATCCAGCTCCCCGAGAGCACTCTCCATCATGTGGTTGCTCTCGGGGTGTCACTACCAGCAGGCCTCTCTTTTCTTTCTATGATAAAGCTGTCTGTTCTCTTGATCTGTGCCACTGATCCACTGACCCTGCTTCTTGAGCTACAGTGTTCCTTTGCCATCTCTGACTCTGAGAAGTACCCCTACAAATCCTGTCTTATTCTACTCCAGCCGGAATAACCTGTCCTCATTGGTACCCATAAGTGGCACAGATCAGGGCTGAGAAATCAATGGTGTGTGTAACCCTACTAGTACGTTTTGGTGTCTGGATGCCACTGAGGACAGTCAGAGTTTTCACACACTTAGTATCCTCTCTGTTGGGTACACTGGTGACACAGGTTTTGTGCGCTCACTGTGTCTCCTCAGCTCTGGGCATGCTGTGGACAGAGCAGAGTTTGTACACTCAGCTGCTCCCACTGGGGCCAGAGTCAGTGTTTGTATACTCAGTAGCTCTCACTCTGTGTCTTCTTTGTGCTGGAAGCAATAAGGCCTGGAGACAGAGTCAAGGTTTGTATACTTACTATATCTCCATTGTGCTGGGCACACTGATAATAGAATCAAGATTTGTACTTCTACTGTCATAGGCACACTAAGAATATAGTCAGGATTTGCACACTCACTATGTCTCTCCTGTGATGGACACACTGGGAAAAGAGTCAGGATTTACACACTATGTTTACCCTTGGCTGGGCACACTGATTCTAGAGTTAAGGTGTGCACACTTACTGTCCAGGACACACTAAGAATATGGTCAGGGTTTGCACATTCACTCTATTTACCCCCTGCTGGACACACAGGGAACAGAGTCAGAGTTTGCACACTCACTAGGTCTTTCCTGTGCTATTCACACTGGTGACAGAGTCAAGGTTTGCACACTCACTGTGTCTCCCCTGTTCTGGACACAACAAGGAACAGAGTCAGGGTTTGTACACTCACTAGGTCTTTCCTGTGCTATTCACACTGGTGACAGAAGGTCGCCGTTTGCACACCCACTAGGTCTTCCTTATGCTAAGTACAATGGAGACAGTCAGTGTGAGCACTGTTTTTTAAAATTTTTTAAATTTTACTCTGATTAATTTACAAAGTTTGAAAACATTGTTTTTCACAAAAGATCTTTCCCATTTCCTTCACCCCACCTACCCATTGAATTGTGCAGCCCTATGATTAACACCCTACTCTCCCATCCTCACCCCTCTATTTCCACCCTCCGCCCCTGCCTTGGATTCTCATACTCATTCTACCATAATGGTTTTATACAGTTTTTGTCCTTGTGAGACTGAGTTAATTCACTCAGCATAATGCTCTCCAGTCCATCTCAAGTTAGGTAGTAATTTTAACAATGATTGTTCCTGCGTGCTGCATAGTATCCCATTGTGTGAATGTACCACAACTTCTCAATCCATTCGTTTGTGGTGAGATATCTGGGCTGTTTCCATGTTCTTGTGATGGTGAATAATGCTGCTATGAACATTGGTGTACAAGTTTCTGTTTCAGACTCAGTTTTCATTTTCTTGGGATATACTCCAAGCAATGGATAGCTGGGTCAAATATTATTACTATGTTCAGATTTTTCCTGCTTTTTAAATTTTATTTATTTATTTTTTTTAAATATTTCGGTAGCCATATTTATTATTTTTCTTTTTTACAGCCATTGGTTAATGAGTCTTATTTAGGAAGACCATCTATTCTTCAAGATTTTCAATAGTTTATAAACCAATGTTCCTGTGTTTTCTTCTAACATTTTCATATCTTAGATTTTACATTTATATTTTCAAATGATCTGCATTTTATATCTGAATACAGTGTGAAGGGAGGTGGGGACTAGATCCAAATTTATTTTCTTTTAAATGTGTGACCATGAAAAAAAAAATCACCCACAGCTGTATCATTTAATCCATCCTTTCCAAGGGACACAAAGAATTTGACTGAGGTCCTCAAGCCCCACATCTCAATCAGTAGCTGCCTCCAAGGATAGCTTCATCCCATAGGTCCCTTTCCTCTGTGCTTTCTCTGCCAGCCTCCTTCTTCTTTCTGTGGGACCCTCTTGCTGCTTTTGTGCTGTCTTTCTCCCTGTGCTTCTCTGTCCTGGCTGGATCTGTGCTGGCCTTTCTCTTGTGCTGTCTGTGACAATCTCCATTTCCATATTGACTCCTCTTCCTCGAGATTTGCTCCTTCTCTGGATGATCTTCCACCTCATCATATCCTCTTTTCTGGTGATTCTCCTTACTACCTGCCTGACAGGTGTTGGAGTGTTCTTCTGAGAAGATGCTGGAGTTTCCCTTGTGTTGTGAAGCTCTGTGGGAGCCAGAGATCTTTCCTTGCATGTTCAGGCCTGCAGGCCAAGTGCTACTGAAGAAATGGTCTTGGTTTTTCTGACAATAGCTTATGTATTCCATTCTTTGTCTCAAGTCATACATTTTGGAACAATGAAGTAGCTGGCTTTCCACTGCTTTCAGCTTTGTGTAGGTACTAGGAAAGTTGGGGGGCCTCCTGAAGAAGAGTCTCTGCTCTGGCATGAGTGGCCTATGTCCACCATGACCTTCTTCTCTGTTCACAGAATTTTCTGTTGCCTTTCTAAAGCAGACATTTGGTTGCAGTCCTCTAGCCTTCTGATCTCTGATGTAGTCCTCCAGTTCAAGCTGGAAGGAGTCGTTAGAATTTTCCACCATATCCACCGTGAATGAATGAATCTCTGGAATTAAGTCACCACTATATGCTAGCATACTTAAAGAATTCCCACAAACAGGTGGAACCCTCACGTCCTCATGGCCTTCTATAAGAGAAGTCTGGAGGCCCCAGAACAGAGGCTGCTAGGCTAGAACCTCAAACGGAAGGAAGGCGCTCTGAACTCCAGGATCCAGAAGAAAAATTCCTGCTTTTTTTAAAAAAAAAAGAATTATTATGATCTTTAAAAAATTAATTTATTGTGAAAAACATGCATGGGGAAACAAAGGGGTGAGTTGGGAGCAGAAGGGTGAGGATGGGCAGGGATGGAATTGCAGGGCTGCACAATTTGCTGGGCAGGGGGAGTAGGCAAAGAAAATAAGAAAGATCCAGTGGGGACTAGAAGAGACAGGGTAATGGGGGGATGGGGAAAAGGGGAGCCCACTTTAACATCTTACTGGTGGTCCTGAGTTGAAGTTGCTTGCCTTCTTGTTCTGTTAGAAGATAGTTTTCTGACATTTACTTCCCTCTGGACTGCAAAGTGTTTGCCAAGGTGGGTCCAGTGGGGATACCTGGTTGAACCCTAAGCCTCCATCCTCCTTCACTTCTTTAGCTGGCCATTATATTTCCCTTTTTTCTCTGGAACTGGGTTCAGGTTTCAGGTCTGGAGTAAAAGTGTTAAAGTTACCAAAGGAAAGGGAGCAAACCTAGAAAGAACAAACTTATGAGTTATAAATAGAAGCGCTTTGGATGTGTTACTTACAGGTGTAGTAAGGGAGAAGGTGGAGGAAAGTGGCCTAGATAAAATTCTATGTATACCTTAGGCAGTTTTCCCCATTGACCTGAAGGCTCTTCCCAGGGGTTGGACAGCACACCCTGAGGACAGAATGGCTCACCCTGAGGGTCGAGCGACTCACCTCAAGGGCCCAATGGCTCCCTCCAGGGACTGGATGGTACACCCTAAGGGCCCAGTGGCTCACTCTGAGGGCTGAATGGCTCACCCCAGGGACTGAACAGCACATCCTAAGGGCCAGGAGACACACTCTGGGGGCTGTGTGACACACGCACTATCAAGTCCCCCCCCTGCCCAAGGTCTAGACCCTGTGCTTCACTGAAGACCATGGCCAGGGACAGCACCCCCAGTTCTGACCACCATCACCCCATCCCCTCCACCAAGTGGTCAGACTGCAATTTGAAGTAGGCATCATTGCCCTCCCCCTTTATAAATAGAGAAGGGGATTTGAGAGTGGTGAACAGATCCTCCCTAGGTCTAAACAGTTCTTGGCAGCAGTAGTCAAGAGATCAAAAAATATCTACCATCTCAGACATGTTGCTGTTGTTAAGTGTCGTCAAGTTGTAAACAACTCATAGCGACCCTTATCAATCCATTGTGTTGATGATCTTCTTCTCTGGCCTGTCCAAAGAAATTCACTGACAGCAAGATGCTTTCCCTTATCAAGACCTTCACCTCCTGTGGCTCCATGGCGCCATCACTGCTGCTGTCGCCACCGCTCCTGCTTTGGGGGTCTGCAGCTCACTGGCTGCTCAAGTGGGGACCAGTGCTAACTTCCTGGTCTAGGCTAGGGGACCTGTGGGCCCTGGCCAGGGCAGCCACAAGGGGTCATGGCAGCCCAGGCTCGGCAGCAGGCAGAGGGAGGAAGCAGGACCCACCCATGTTCCCCTGAGAATCCCCGTCCTTCTGATGTTGAGCTCCAGTCCACACTGATGACCAGCAGTCATCAAACAGCTTGGCTGTTTGGGCACTTTTAAGTTGTGTTGCCTGCTTCATCGTGGCCCACTGGGCCTTCTGCTCACCATGCCGTTTCTCCTACTGTGGCCGTCTTTGTTCCTATGTTCAGCTTTTTGAGGAAGCATCAAACTGACTTCCAGAGTGGTTATACCATTGTACAATCTCACCAACAATGTAAAAGAGTTCTTATCTCAGCACATTCTTTCCAACTTTTATTATTTGCTATCCTGTTAAACTTTGCCACTGCTACTGGAGCGAGATGGTATTTCATTGTGGTTTTGATTTGCATCTCTCTTATTGGCAGTGATTTTGCATATTTCTTCATATGTCTGTTGGCCATTTGAATATCTTTCTCTGTGAAAATTCTTTCCATGTCTTTTGCCAATTTTGTAATTGGGTTATCAGACTTTTTCTTGTGGAGGCTCAGAAACATTCTATAAACTTATGTTATCAGACTCTTCTCTGAGATGGCATTACCAAATGATTGTTCCCAGTCAGTAGGTTGCCTTATCACTGTGTTGGGAAAGTTTTTGATGAACACAGGGATTTAATAAGGTCCCACTCATCAACTTGATCCTCTTCAGATTGAACATTTCTGGTTGTATTTGGCAGTCTCCTTATACTGTAGAATAGGGCTTCTAAGCTTGATCTCAATATGTCTTTTATGAATTTTATGGGTTTGGGCTTTACTCCCCGGTGGTTTTTGTGTATGGTGTGAGATGTGGATCCTGTTTCAGCTTTCTACAGGTATCTATCCAATTCTGCCAGCACTATTTGTTGAAGAGATTATCATTTCCCCATCTGATAGGTTTTATTTCCTTGTTGAATATCTGTTGACCATAGATAGCTGGGTCTATTTCTAGCTTCTCAATTCTGTTCCATTGGTCTATGTGCTTGTCATTGTACCAGTACCACACTGTTTTGGTTACTACTGCTGTGTTGTTGTTGGTTTTGAGGTCAGGGACTGCTATGCCTTCCACTTATTTTTGTTTCTCAGAAATGCTTTGCTTATTCGAGGTCTCTTACCTCTCTGAATAAACTTGATAATTTCCCTTTTGATCTTGAAAAAGAAATTTGGTATCTGTATTGAGATTGCATTTAATATAGATTGCTTTTGGTAGGATTGCTATTTTCACAATATTAAGTCTTCCTATACATGAACAGGGCACATTTTCCTACTTCTTTAGGTCCTTTATTATATCTTGAAGAAATATTCTACCATTTTCTTTCTATAGGTCTTTTGCGTCTCTAGGGTGGAGGGACAGCGCAGGAGAGGAAGGCCCTCTATGAGGTGGATTGATTCAGTGACTGGGATAATTGGGATCGGAGGGTCAGAGACAGTGCGATTGGCACAGGACAGAGCGGAGTTTAGGGCTGTTGTACATAGGGTCGCTATGAGTC